TAGTCGTAGGGGTTGCGGTGTCGTTTGTTTCGGTAGTGATAGTGGGTCGGTGAGTGTTTCGTCGGATGAAGTCGTTGTTGTAGTTGTTCTTCGAAAAAACACGGTGAAGGTATTTGTCCTCGTCGGATAAGCTGTCTGTCGAGCCGCATACTCAGACAACACCTTCACATGTTACCCCCGGGTTCAAGCCATTTACTGCAATTGTTAATTGTTATAAACACGACTTGTCGTGAAATGTCACAGACTTTTAAAGACCTGTTGGCCGACAAACTGCCGACAGTGAGCTGACATAAGGATCCAGAAAAGTTGGCCTAGAGCTAGGATTTTTTTTGGAGGGAAAGCAGGCGGGAGGGGTTGTTTTTCTTCCTCTCTCACTGAATCTTACGGTTCTTTTATTTACTCTCTGAAGATATGTTTCCTTATTTAGCTGACGAAAATGTTATACACAAGGCTAACGAAGTCACAAGAGCTGTCCTACAAGATATTCTTCACGATCCGGAAATCACTAAACTGGCTGGTGCTTTCGTAATGCATGTCCTACACAGAGAAGATGTAAAATCTGCCGCTATCCAGTTGACCCAACACGTTCTTAACGATCCTTCGACCCTGAAAAAGATCAATGAACTTGCGAAGAGCACGCTTTGGAATCTAATGGCGCACGAAGAAACTCGAGCTGTAATGTTGAGCTATATTAAGGTGCTGATTCTGGATCAAAGCACTAAAGACGCGTGTAAAGTCCTGTTGGCGGAGCTCGTAAAAGATCCGGATGTGAAAGGATTTATGGCAGCGTCCCTCGGTGATCTGGTGACGTCCTCTGTTGTTAAAAGCAGTGCTGCTGAACTTGGAAAAAGCGTCACGCACGAAGTTGTTAATGACGCAAAAATTCAGCAAGAAACTGGGAACTTTCTGTGGAGGGCTTTTAAGAACACCTTTACCTCTGGATGGTTCGGCTGAGGGATATAAGATCACATAAGAGGAAGTTTGAAAGGAAAAATGTTTAATCGAAAATTATTTCTAAACCTCAGGTTCTTAACAGTTTGACCAGCGGACTTTATTTAAGGAATTAAACAACAAACAGCCTCTTACTCAGGAAACAATTACAGAAAGATTACAAAAGGAGAAGTGCTGTTATTAAAAATTAATTCGATTTTCATGTACTTTACAGTTTAAGTGGTGGTTAGAACTTTTTATAGGAAATTTAGACTACTAATAGTCTTTTTCCTAAGTTTGTTGGACGAGAAACACGAAAAAAAATACAAAAATGCATATGCTCACCGAATTATATAAGAAAAGAAAACGTGTTAGCTCTCTTTGTAGTCCCACAGCCACACTCTACATTGTTCCCGGCATATTTTCAAAGGATATTTCGTATTTTAACCCCTAAAAATACTGGGGAAATATACCTTTATTGTAAGGACATTTATTATATGTTACGTGACTTACAAATTACATCGACGATTGGCGTCCAGAAAAAAAAAAAAAAAAGAGCAAAGAAAATAGAGTTGTTAAGTATATCCGAGAAAAACTGTATTTTATTGTTGAAAAATCACCTGAACACCAAATAAACACATATTCAGTGAATATATTTTAGATTATGGGAAATACAATTCCTTTTTTGAGACGCAATAACTGCGAGTTTCCGGAACTGTATTGTTGCTGAAGGACGAGGTATCACATATTTTTTTTTGTCTAAGGTCAGTGGTAGCCTTTGCGAACACACTTAACACGAGGGCTTTTGAGTCAAAGCTCTTTCCTTCGCATTTTTGCAGTGTAAATCAATTTTTCACAGAGCACGCGACAAAATGTTGGTCACGTTGACCCTGAAGGTGTCTCTTGAACCAGAGAGAACTAAAATACATGATTCGCTGTTAGAATGGAGATCCTGGGTAACTCCGCGTCCTCCCTCCATCACCTGATTTTTTCACAGTTCCTTACAAACTAAACTAAAAAATTCAGTTAACTTATCAAGAAGACAAAGATGACAACTTCTTCACCCGTGAAGAAATGAAATGAACGAGCGAATGAAGTCTTGCTCCCAGTCTTTTCCGCGTAGTCATTGAAATCAATGATGGCGGCCCACTTTCCACTTACCCTATGTTCGTGGGCTCAAACAAAGAAAAGTTACTATGCCAACTTGAAAGCAGGATTTTCTTTATTATCAAGTAATAACCTCTGTTAATTGAGCCCTTGAACTGAGGCAGATCCAATTAGCAAATGTTAGGGAGCAGTCATTAGCTACAGGTACCTGTGCAGAAGCCATTCAAGACCTTACTTAGGCGAATAAATATTTGATAGTAGCGATTTAAAGCCTTAAAGAAAACTGTCACATTAGCATGGTATACATGTCAAATAATTTGACTTGGAAAATATTAAGGGCATCGTCTTGTTGCAGGTAGTTTGTTCGGATGGTAACTCACGACTACGATTTGAGGTTGCAGAGGCGAGCGTTAAGTTTGAGTTCACCTTAATGCGCGTACATCACTTTATTGCTGCATACAATCTTTTGCGTGGAACTCTCATTAAGTTTCTCTAGTTGTGGAGGAGTGTCAAAACCAGACAACAAATGGGCGAAAGTTATTGAGGATAGAGTGTTTACTTAGAACGCATCTGAAAAGCAAGTACTCTTGTTTAATCTAGTGGAAGGTAAATAGCTTCTAGGAGAAAGAAATTCCCACTGGGTTTACCGTACGCTTCAAAGGTTCAAGCAATTGTAACCGACATTGCTGCGCGCTGCAAGATACACAAACAAACGCAGTCTTTCCCGGCAGTTATAGTTTGTTATCATATTCACCTAACACACAGAAGCTATGGAAACCACTGAGAACGATTCAAACTCAAACACGAATAGCACAAGTTCTGACATTGTTGCGTGTTCTATTTGCTTGGAAAGCGTTTGCCAACTACGAGCGAGCACCCACCAAAAATGCGCCACAGCCTTCTGCGATTCGTGCCTTGGCGCCTACATACGTTTAGAAATAACGCAAGGAAAATGGAAAGTGGAATGCGCGAATTGCAGCTCATTGCTTGCAAAAGAGATGATTCATAAGTTCTTAGAGGAATACCCTTTACTTCAAGAGCATTTCTCTCGTCTAGTAGCTGATGCGAATCAAGATCCTCTCGTTAAAACGTGTCCAAACTGCGACGGAAGAAAACGGGTCAAAAATCATAAAACAAAACGAGTGGTGTGTGATAAGTGTCATTTCGACTGGTGTTTTTCATGCCACGCTCCGTGGCATAAATCAATGAGCTGCAAAGACTTTAAAAAAGGAAACAAGATGTTTAAAAAATGGACAAAAGACACCACCGAATGCGGCGCGGGTATCAACGCACGTCCTTGCCCGAAGTGCAAAGTTTTTATACAGAGACAAGACGGGTGCGATCAGATGACTTGCCCCAGGTGTCGTACCACCTTTTGCTATCTTTGCGGAAAGAGGATCGTTCATAGTAAATTGTTTGGTAGCCACTGGAGTATTTACAGTGTGTTAGGATGTAGGTATATTTATAAACCGGATCGCCCTGTGCAAAGAAAGGTCATTAGAGGGTTCTTACTTGCTGTAGTGCTAGCATCGCTGCCAGTTTTTGCCACCATTTTTGTGGCTTTATTCCCCGTGTATGGAGTTTACAAGTTACACAAATGCACTCGTAAGCAGTAGGCGTTTTCGATTAAGGTTTGAATTAAGCTAGCTGTCCATGTTCAAAATCATCTCCTAACTGAATAATTTGGATATATCAACAAAGTTGAAATGGTAAATTGGCCACCGTAACGATTACAAAAGCTGACGTTTCGAGCGTTAGCCCTTCGTCGGAGCGTTAGCCCTTCGTCATTCGCTCCGACGAAGGGCTAACGCTCGAAACGTCAGCTTTTGTAATCGTTACGGTGGCCAATTTACCATTTCAACTTTGTTGATATATCCAAATTATTRCGTTACCCCCACCGACGCAGCCCCAAACAGTTTCTTTAGAAACTATCAGCCTTTATCTCATAACGTCACAAGTTATTTTACCAAAGACGACAAAAGTTCCACTCTAACAGCTTCAATTCTGTTCGAACCACTAAATCGTTCTTAGCTCATAATTGTTTTTCTCTGGTCAGCCCGGTAAATTTAGTGTATGAATAAAATTTTCATCTTTCATCATTCATTTGTTGACAGTGTTGTTGTGATGTCCCTTGTTTTACATTGTTATTCTTCTTTTTACCTGCTTCGGTCTCTTCCGTACCACCACCATAGACTTTAAGCTCTAAAAGTTTGAGCAATTGCTTAAACCGGCCCTTAGGAAACAAACCAAGACTCACGGGGAGGATCTGCATACATTTCGGTAAAACTAACGCCGTTGAATACTCAAATAGAGCACATTTCCGACCTCTTGATGGCACCGAGAAAATTCCATCTTGCTTTAGCTGATAATAGGCGAGTTATTACAACTCTTTCCTACGCTGTCTTTCGATGGCGCGCATGAAATGCTAGGCTGATGAAAACATCTAAACACAGCCTGTAAATAGGCGCACATTATGACATACATGCGGGTCAGGTCACTACTTCTGCGTCCGTAGGATCTATAGAATTCTGTTCCGCATTGTGCAAGGCTACGTTGTCTAGGTTATGCTGTAACGTAAAAAAAAAAATAATAATGTATATATATATATATATATAACCTAAAACTAGTATGATTATATATATAATCATACTAGTTTTAGGTTACAAAATGGTACATCGTCACTCCCCTCCAATTAACTCCAGCGCTTTTGGTCACGCTTGTCGGAGTCCCAAGCAGAAGCAAAAGGATCAAATATATAATCACAATGCATACCGAGTTCTTACAATTATAACAATCGGGTTTTTTCCAAATCACAAGCGACGAAGTCAAAGGTGGCCTCAGTACTCTGTTTCTTATTCCTTCCGTTTAATTTTCACGATCATGTTCCTCTGCGCCTTGTGAGATATCGACTCCAATTCCAACCTAAGTGAGAACCAGCTTTAAATAGCTCACCTGAAGTACATGTAACCCTGAAAGCGACGCCACTACGAGTTCCTTCAGTCCGTCATTAGTTAGATCTAGATATTCAATGGCAAACAGAGGGCTCGCAAAACTTCTCTTCCACATCAGCTGAAAATCAATGCTGTTTGAACTGTTCCCCGTATTGTCCAAACGGACACCCTTAAAGATGAGGAGTTCCTGTTTTATAAAGAGAAAAAAATGTTGCTTTACCAACCACACAGTTTTCCAATGTTTCTTGATAATTTAAGGCCACTAGGACCAATTTCTTCAGTTTAACTGCATTTGCTGTCGATTGCAAAGTTTGTGAGAAAGGAGGGGGGAGGTAACTATAAAGGGGCAAAAACATTTTGTTTAAGGGGAACAAAAACCCTGTAAGTGCACTTTACAGCTCGGTACACTTCCTAGTCGTTTTCTGCAAGATAACAACGTGAAATCAATGATTTTTTCTTTCCTTTGGGAGGGGACAACGAGGGAAAATCAATCTTGTCTCTGCTTGTAATTTAACGCAGTCCTCACATGATAAAATCTTCGAGCCTTTGCGAAATTGTTACCAGCGGTTTGCCAACGCTGGTAAGACCAATCACTGCCGTCTTATGAGCCCGCGAGCAGGCTCTCAAGTTTGGGTCTCGCCTTATAGCGCAGCAACCATCGCCAGCCGCCTCTAAAAACAAGGGTAGTAGAGAGATTTAGCACCGCGTTTATAGGAAACGAACAGCAAGAGTAACCACGAGGCCTTGTTTTTCCCGCCACTTTTTTCACGTTTGCCGGTTTTCACGTTTGCAGTTTCTACGTGAATGTAACTTGTTTCGCGTTGCCGTGTAGGTAAGATTTTCTTCTGCCGTTTCACGTAAACACGGTGCTAAATCTCTCTATTGACACACCTGAGAAATATTAATTCACTATTTAGTGGAAGTTTTCGCGGCGGGCTTTACCGCTTTAATTGGTCAAGCTCATTAATAACGTCTCTATCATTGTCTGGCGCTCACCTGTCCATATGTTCCCAGGATTATCTCGTTCTTCCCGTCCCAGTTGACATCAGCGATACATGTGCACGTCACACAGTCGAATTCATCCGACTCTGGTAGAGTCACCATGTTTGTGAAACCTTGGCTAATTATATTTCTGTGAACCAAAAAGAAACATTTAGTTTACACAAATTTCATCTCTGCGATTGACTTTAATTGAATGAAAGCTTAAGTTAGGAGTTTATTGCCGGAGTGCAATACGGAAGTTCCCTAGCAAGAAAGCGTCACAAAAGTTCGATTCTTGCCACCTGCCATTCGCATAAAAGTAGTTCCGAATTTCTTTAAGAACCATTAACAACCTAACAAGCCCCTAGTATAGCTTATCTAAACAATCATAACGTTTTCTAGCAAAAATCCATAGCTAAATTTCTCTATTGCTTAGCCGTCGTGGTCTTAAGGTCCCTAATACTTACGTGTAAACGACAGTTGCTTCAATCGCACAGCAAACCAAAAGATGGTATTCCCTTCTTTCAATTGTTTGACCGCTTTCAATCTTTTTACCATCTGCAAGGAGAAATGGAAACAAAATAATCTTGTTTGAGTTAATTCTGCAGACGCCTTTAAAGAAGTCTACGAAGTTTTGTATTGCACAGTTAAAACTGTACCAGTAGCGTCGATAATTTTGCTCGAGTCTTGCGTAAACAATTTCACACTTGAAATGGGTCCATCACGATCCAAAGTGTACACCTGGTCAATACCTGTGAAAAACAATACCAAAACAGTAAAAAGTATGTATCAAAACTAAAAAACACTTAAAAGTTCCTCTTCGCACCAAAATGTAAAACGATCTCAGAGAGGAAGATGTGCTAAAATTGGAAAATCCGATCAATTAGGCGAGTAAAAGAACGACAACTTTCTTTGCCCGTCAACATCGCCCAAAACGAATTTGAAAACAACCTTTTCAATCTATTAAATACAATTTTACTGATAAACAAAAATCAACACCAAAAGAAGTTTCCATGGCAACATACTTCCCCTCGTAAGGTCAGTCACTGCTACTTTAACATGCCCGTTTTGACAGCCAACAACTGTTACACGTTTAGAATTGTCCAAAGTTTCCACCTCCAACCAAAGAACACTGCACAAAGAGCAAAGCGCGAACAGTTAATTAAACATGTTTCAGAGTGATACCTGTTGATAGCTTAAATACACAAAGTATTTTTAACGGATTTCCATGATCTTAGGAAATGCACATCACCATCAAATTCTCAACACGGAGGATGTGGTGTAAGAAACCACTTACTTGCTTGGCAAATTTTGCAGCTCAGGAAAAAAGTTTTGAACTGGTTGCTCCTCAAACCTCTGCTGAGTCCTTTCCTGCAATTTATAAGAAACTGTTAACTCCCAGAGGTGATTAACATGTAACTTCTCCCTTTATTATCCATACATTATCCAGCAAAGAGGTAATGAGAATACTGAAATTTATCAGGTAGAACCTGCTATCTTGATCTAGAGGTGATTAACATGTAAGGTAAAGGTAAAGTCTGTTTACAAGTCTAGTGGCCCATTAGGCCGGTGCTTAACTCCGGTTTGTAGCATGAAGTGACTAAGAGTATTTCTACTCTCCCCTGGATGGGATGCCAGTCCATCGTGGGGTTACCCCCCAGCATTAAACTGACAGTACCCATTTATACACCTGGGTGAAGAGAGGCACTGTGAGAGTAAAATGTCTTGCCTAAGAACACAACAGAATGTCCCGGCTGAGGCTCGAACCCGGACCAATCGATCCGGAGTCGGCTGCACTAACCATGAGGCCACTGCGCCTCCACGATTAACATGTAAGTTCTCCCTTTAATATCCATACATTATCCAGCAAAGAGGTAATGAGAATACTGAAATTTATCAGATAGAAGCTGTTATCTTGATCTAACACCTAATTCTGACTTGTAACTAATCTACAACAAAATGTGTAGCACCTAGAGGGGAGAATTAACAAACAGATCTTTGGAGTTAAAGGGCTAAACTGTGGCAAATTTAGAAACACAGTTGCACCAACCATACAGCTGGTAGCGTGGGCCCTTCCAAAACCTAGCAAAGGTGGTCCTCTTAAAATGTTAAAGCAAAATCCAGATGCAGCAGTTGTAGGTATTAACTACAAGTCATAAATGAAGCAGTATTGGGTTAAAGAAAGGATTCAGGATACTCAAGTTTAGCAATTCTCTATTCCTGCTGATATACCTCTCTTTGTAAGTTAGTTCAAATAATTTAGTGTTGCAAAAAGTGCTTTGCTTGGATATCATAACACCAAATCAATAAGAACTAAAAGAAAACCCAAGCAAATTGCTCCAGGCACAGGAAAATGCAAGTGACTGAGGCTCAGCTGTTGTATTTTTACATCTTACTTTTTTTATAAGGGTGGTGTAGGTTTTCTCAACCAATTACTCAGTAGAAAGGAGCAAAACAAAAGCAGTCCCACATTACTGTTAACACTTGATCAAAAATTACATGATCCGTACAACACTCTTTATGTAATAAAATATGTTAATTGTCATCCCTTGTTTCCCAGATATTGAACTGGCACTACAATGTTAATGTTAATTACCATTTATCAGTTTTGGGAGTTATAGCCAAGGGTAATTATAAAATCTGCTAACCTCACAAAACATGTGCACCTTTCCATCACTTCCACAAAGCAAAAACACAATTTGCTTTCTTTCCTTCACAAAAACACTGCCAAAGGCAAATACATGAATTTATTTACTAATTATTAAATAAATTGAGAGTGTGTGAGGTCACACCAAAAAAATTTCAAATTATATTGTAAGGTCTCAGCATGAACAATGACATAGCAGCAGTTCATATGTTAATATCAAGACCTGTTATTTAGATTTTTCAAAGCAAAGACTTCCATAAGTCCTGGTAAATAAGGCACTGACAAATCTCTTTGACGAGTCTCCTCACGTTTAAGTCTTATATCCCCCTCCTTCGACACACACATCAGTCTGCATACACTGTATTCCCCATACTGCTCTCTATACATTTCCGAGGCTGCTTGCAAGGAGAATTTGTTTAACAATCAAGAGCTTCTTTAGGTGGTCTGATTGTTTCCATGATTCTCCAGACCCTTATATGTTATTCAGGGGTGACATTGTAAGGGAAAAAAATATAACATTTATGGACTTCTTACTCAGCATGTGTCAGCTGGAAAGGGACAAAGTTCAATTCAAGATGTTGACAGCCCTCTGTAAAAAAAACAAATAGTACTAGTAGATAAATAATAAATAACTTAAGATAAAAAAAAACATAATATAAACAAAGATTCACTACAGAATGACTGATGCCTAATAACATGCTAAGTTACACAGAAGTTAGAGTAGCTGTATTGCATACAATGTGTTATTGGCTCACTGTACCTGCAAGACTACCCAGTGAGAACTCTGACCTACTTTCCAAAGCTGAATAGATGTTGAGGAACTGTTTTTGGTGACTTCTAGAATTCTACAAAAGGATTCAATGTTGCTTAAAATCATAGAGAGAATGAACACAGAAAGGTGACAGGCACCAGAATAGGATCTCTGTGAGATAAACTCAATAAAATAAAGGACACAACTCAAGTTAATTTGCTCAAAGGTATGTACTTGCTAGTCGGCACTGTACTCATACACCAAAATCATGGGATTTGAAAATGAGTAATTTTAGATAACACCTAAGATTTTGGCTACACATTTTCAGAGATTATAATGTAACTTATTACCAGTCTCTGAAAAGATAATATTGCTGATATATGACCAGTCATTTATTAGAGGGGGGGTGGACTGATGCAAACGGGGTGGGTGTCAAACCTTTTTGTGCACCTGAAAATGGCCACATATTTTTGTGCATTCCAATTTCCGTTCCACAAAAAAGAAACATCACTGAAGGAATCAACAACAAAGTCAAATATGATTTATTATCAAAATAATGGCATAATAAACCAACATGACATGGTGTATGTCAGTCCTTTCATGTTGAAAAAAAAAATTCATGTATTACTCGGTATTACTCAGTATCACTGTCTTCTGATTCACTGTTTGAAGAGCTGATAGAGGGCAAGTACTCTTTAATTATTGTACAAGATTGATCACTTATAAGCCCTATTTCCATCATTTGCTTTAGCCGAGAAACTTGTGTCCCTTTTAAGGATATTAGAGCAGCTACATTGACTTCCTTAACTGGAATCTCACCATCAGACAGTAGCTTGGAGATTAATGAAACCAAAATTCTCTTATTCTCATCCAGCTTTTCTCTTCTGTGCCTTTCTCTTATTTTTGCTTTAAATAGTTTTGTGAGTTTTATTTAAGTTGTATCAAAACTGTTTCTGTGGTTGAGGGTGGGTCATTTTATTTCATGTCCAGACTCAAAGGGGGGCCACATTACATTATGCAGTGTCAAGATCAGGCCCACAAGACATTATGAATAGGAAAAATAAAACGCATCAGCCACTCCCCCCTAATAAAAGACTGGTCCCTAAAGAACCTTTAGTCACAGTTTGGCCAAAATGGTTTGCCATACTAGAAAGGAAAAAATGTCTACCTTCAAATACACTAATTCACTATCAAATACTATGTACCTTTAACAAAATTAACGATATCCCCACTACTAGTCCTTTTCTTGTTTCAGGTCTGTTAAACGCATCAATAGATACGATTTCTGCTGAATCTGAAATAAATAAATAAATAAATAAATAAAAGGGGATGATGTAATAGATAAGTAAAAATTCCTGTGAAGAGCTGGGCGTGATTTTAACTATTTTTCCGTGTAACCCACAGACGGTCTGGGTGTGACTTCAATGATTTGATTCTCACGTCTCCATTGTCCAGCATAGTTCAGAGGCGGGGAGTGCAAATTATTTTACAAACCTGGGATGTAGGTGAAGGGGACCTCTCTGAAGGTCGGCACAAGTGAATTCTGCGGGTATTCCAAGCAAACCACACTGCCACTGAGGGAAGCCAGAAATAGCTTTCTTTCTTCTTCCTTTCCGTCGATTTTTGCTAGACCATAGATATTCGTTTGCGAGGGAATTGGAAAGAAGTGAATTTCTTCGAAATCTAAGTTCTGCTTGTCCGCCATATTATTCCTAGTTGCAGCCCAGATCTCTCTCCTCTTCTTAATTCGATCCAGGTCTCGCGCACGTTTTTTCACTTGAACACTTGCCAACTGCGAAATGGTGAATTTCTCGGATAAACTATTTTCTTTGTTTGAAATGCTGTTTCTTCATGAGTAAAATTGGTTTTCAAGCCACACCCACAGTTACCATCTTGTCACAAATAATGAGAGGAAAACAAACCCAAACCCTTTTGTGCGTTCGTTCTTGTTAAATTATTTCAATTCATTTGGAAGAAATTTGGGCCATTGAATGTAAGATTCAACACCATGAGTAGTCGAAGAATCCAAAAATTTTGGCTCTAGGAAGCCAGCTTTTTTCGCACTTGACCGGATGCGTTTCATCAGTTGAAAACGTCTCCAAAGATTGATGGGTGCCAAGTTCTAAAGTGTGAATTACTTCCTTGTTTCTTCAAGCACTTAGAATCACGTTAAAGCGCGACATGTTAACAAGGGTCTAGATTTCAATGGGGATAGAACCGACTTAATTTCCCATAGAAAGGATTATCGACCTCTTGCATTATATTCTTGAAGACTTTACACATATAAAGTAGCTATATTACCAACAAATATTTCCTTCACAATTTACAATGCCTAAGAATGGGATAAAAGTAAGAGGCATACCATATGCCGTTGATATCATTGAGACGCAGGTGCTCTTCGCAGCTTTTCTGTGTGACTTTGCAGAACATGGCGCAAACAAAAAGTCAACAGAGGCTAACCGTGCTGCTTTTCGTTGCCGTGCCTGCTAAACTATCTATTTCATAACTTGTTTATCTTTTCTTTTCGAGCATTCTCGCTCCCAGCACGGCCCACAACTATGTGGGACGGTAGAAGCGGTCTAAAACGAGGAGTCCATGTGTCAGGAACTCGAGTATATATCGTACGGCAATTTCGCAGTCGACAAGTCCCATCGTCTTCAAGTATCAGTTGGTTTATCGAGTGTAGTGAGCAACTACAGAGAGTGTGCTCAGAGCTGTGTTAACAATCCATCATGTGCCTCGATCAACGTCGCCTCATCTCCACGTTTAGACGATAAATTTCCATGCGAGTCGCTAACTAAACGGAGATAAATAATTTGCAAGTCCAGGACAGCTGGTTATTTGACAAGAATATCATCATTACAGCATCAAGGTATGCACATAATTGATGGTAAAACATTGTGAAATCAATTCAGTGAAGGCTCTTTGGTGACACCCCCTAAGACTCTTCCCTATTTCTTGTAACTTGAATTTAGTCTTTATTCTCTAAACCAGTATTTTTCCTAAGATGCGAATTCCATTTCAATAAATTAATTTGGTTTTATTAAACAATCTCTGAAAAATTTCAGACACTATGTTCCAGTTGATCATGCAGAAACGGTGGAAAGTGTATTCTAAACTACGAAACAGGAGACTTTGCCTGTTCCTGTCTACCTGGTTTTAGTGGAGAAACTTGTCAAACAGGTTAGTCCGGAAACACTCTCTCATAAAAATGTATGAAAGCGAACCTCGCAGTAATGAACTCAGTCATGTAGTAGTGGAAATAAGGCCTGAAAAAAATTCAGGCCCGCACGGGACTTGAACCCATGACTTCTGCGATACCGGTACAGTGCTAACTGAGCTAACAAGCCAACTGGGAGCTGATCATTATGTTGGTTCTGTTGGTTCGTATTAAACCCGTCGAAGTGATAAATAAATTAACTTGAATATACGAAAATAGCTAGGGTTCATTACTGCGAGGGTCGCTTTCATACATTTTCATGAAACCGCAGTATACACAGATGATTTCCATATATTCAAATTTGTTGAGTTTATACATTTCGTTCAAAGGGGACAAACTTAAGATTTTCAGGTGGAGATGCTCGATCTCTTGTCTTACCACGTTTTTTTGTTTAACCCTTTAGTAGAGTACTCTTCTTATCACCAGGGGGAGGGTGTGAGGTTTGGAGGGGGAGGGGGAGGGGAGAGGGAGGAAGGTGTCAGTGAGCTTGTAAGAGTAAGCAAAGCTCAGAGAGACACTGAAGGCCATCTAATTCTTCTAACTTAATGCGGGATAAATCAGTGTCTTTTAAAGTGAGAGTGTCGACGAATGTTCATCAAACCCTTGTAGAAATAGAGGCACCTATGTCGACCGGGTCAATGGCTTCGATTGCGTTTGCCAACCAGGATATGAGGGAAACACTTGTCATAAAGGTTGTTTATGACGCCAGAATTTTGTTATTTTAGTACAGTGACCCTTCAGAGATAATAGTCAAGTAGAGTGTTTAATATAAGGTTGTCGTTTGCGGGAACCAAAGAAGCGAAAAAGATGTCTGATTTGAGTCCCCACTCCACTTTCTTTTTACTCCGTGATGGCACCAAACGGAACTAACAGAGAAAAGTTTATCATTCACACTTGGCGCAAATATTGTTATATTGGTATATAAGGCTAAGTGCATGCGCAGGGGAGAAATGCTCCTTACTTGCGTAAGTGCCTCACTTATCCTATTTTGAGACAGTTCTAAGAATTTATTTTGCATTGCATGTCTATCTTCGCCCCTCACAGATAGGGAAGAATGTGCCAGCAATCCACGTCAGAACGGGGGCACTTGTAGAAACCAAGTGAATAGATACACATCGGTGCAGTGCCGGAACAACAGGAGATCACTATGACATAGGTAGGGAACGACTTGTTATGCCACTGGTTTCTGGTTATTAGGTATCTGTAAAACCGACGCCATCCAGACGAAAGATGGAAGAAGATATAGTCAAATGTTATGTCATAAACAATGACATATGAAATTAACGTATATGCTCAATCTTCGTATGCCAAAACGTTTACAGCGTTTCCGATCGGACGTTTTTTCAAGAACGGCTTTTTTCTTGACGGCGGCGTTTGTTTCTGAATCACACGTATTAAATCACGGACATTGCTCATAAATCATTTTGAAGTATTACGTAAAATAAAGAAATGTATTTCGCTTTTTTGCTGAGATAATTCGTTAACAAAAACGAATGGGCGGCTGCAGTCGCAGTCTGGAGAAGCTGCATGTAGAAAGTCTCTTTCTGGAGAGTCGAACGGGCTAAAGAAAAAAAAGGATCAAGCCAATAGCTTAGCCAAGATCTGATAGCGAATCTTTGTGGACTTTTATCGCCTACTCTCCAAGAGGGATACTCTTTACACTGAAGAAGTATCTCTGGTGAAAAGCCTCAAGTTTATCTAAGGCTATTGATCACTTTTTAACCAACTGAAAATTATATTCAAGATAAGGAAACCACAAGAAGTGTATTGCAAGTAACGATAACAGACGGTGCAATTAGCACTTTTTTTTTCAGTTTCCACACCAAAGACGTGCGCTGGAGTCAAATCGCAAAACCCTGGCGCCACTAACGGTCACCACACGACTGATCCCGATGGCCATGGAGGACTGCATCCTTTCTCAGTGTACTGTTTTTTCAACGGAGCATCGGGAACTGCTTCTTTTACCCTCGACGTCAATGGCCTCGAACTAGTCGACGGTTATGAAGCTACGGGGTCATACAGGCGAGACGTCACTTACTCACTTTCACTGTCACAAATGGCCGCGGTGGCATCCGTCTCCGAAAGCTGCAGTCAGTAGATCAGTTATACATGCAGCAAATCAATGCTTATTGCAAATTACGGTGACTTAGTAGGGGGCCCGTACGGTTGGTGGGTAGCTCATGATGGAAGCTCCTAGAACTACTGGGGTGGTGCTGACCCTTATAGCAACTCATGTGGGTGTTTCAAAGCCGAGAACTGCTACAAATTTCCAAAATTCAAATGCAACTGTGATGCTAACGATCTGGGCGAGAGAACTGATGCTGGTTACTTAACACGTAAGAGCAAACTCCCTGTAATACAGCTAAGGTTTGGAGACACTGAAAGTAACGAAAAGGATCGTGAGAAATATTCATTCGGTCCATTACAATGCCTCGGGGAGATTTAGTTATTTTAGTACATCGATTTCCCAAAGGGACCTCGAGGAAACACCCTCCACACCCTAACATCAGGAGATGCATGTATTCTCACTACTGTTGTTTGTTATATATATACATTTACTATGCGACTGATAAGGAGACTGCAGTTCAATTCAAGAGCTTGTCAAAAGGATTCTTGCACTTTTTCAGGAACCCAATTCAAGGACTTTTTAGGTCATTTTCAAGGACCTTGACCCTCAAATTCAAGGACCTTTTGCATTAAATAGATTACTTTCAATGCACTAATCAGATACAAAATATATAAAAATCACGTGTGAAACATCATAATCGGACGCGGGATTTAAAAGGAGAACTCGTTTCCACGATTTTTGCCAGAAACTTACACTTTCGACTCCGAAAACAAAAGAAAACTTCGACTTTGATTCATTTGCACTTATTATCAAGGACTTCAGTCTAAATTCAAGGGTGATCAAGTCCTTGAAAACAAGGAATTCAATTCAAGGACTTTCAAAGAGCGCGGGAACCCTGTGTCAAGCTCGCAATCATTTCCTTTATTCTCATGAGCTGAATGTTTGATTCAGCAGTGATTCCTTGGAAATAAATTAGATACTAGTCAGTCACCCTGAGAGTATAAAGGGTTCATGGCATCAGTAACCAAATAGCTGCAAAATATCCGCTGTGCAAACGAGTGTTAAAATGTAGGTGAGATTTCATCGCATACCTAACCTGAAAGCACCGATCTAGCCACAAAAAGGTTTTTAACCAGTTGTTACCGTAACCAGTTATGATTTCAAAGGCATTTGTCCGCAGGGTTACGATCTAATAGGCCTGCAATCAATGGAGGTTACCGATGTGCTGAGGTGATCTGCCAGGATATGTATGTTCTGGAGATGTGTATAGCCATTGCAAACATGTAAATAAATTGTTTTGTCATATTTTGACGCCGTCGATGTGGAAGTTTCCGCACCATTTATGAAGGCCGATGGCGTTCGTTTTAGATTAAGGGCACCTATGTGCTCTTTAAATAAGATTACTTAACAATTACTCTTTGAGCGCGCCAACGAAGCGCGTAGCACCAAGTTGGTTATGACCAATCTTGTATCCAACAAGCACGAATGGAATAACAGTTTTGTTAAATTCCATTACATCCTGAACATTTCGATATTTAGAGCTTTTCAGCTCCGCAACAGTTGGCGCAATGCATTTCCATATAAGGTGAGCTGATAACCGGAGTTGAGTAAACCAATCAGAACACTAAAAATGCAATATTCGGATTTGTAATTTTAATAAAACTGTATATACATTAGCATAAAGGCTGATATATACATAACACATGTTAAAAAAAGTTCGCTTGTAAAAGAAATTCGAAGTAATAATAGGTAATTTATTATGGAATGCGTGCTCCGTATAAACCATAAAATGTAATACTAAAAATATATTCTCGCACAGCAATAAAATTCTCTCACTGTCCACTGGGAAGTGGCAGTAATGTTATAATTTCAATAAGGAATACCGAACAAATAAAAAAATAAAAATTGAGGGTTAAAATCTCTTTATACCGATAAAATAGACTGCATAACAAGAGTAACTCTGCCCGAACAATGTTGGTGTAAAAAACAAGCTAAAAAAAGTGAACCTGTCAAAAATAAATCCTTTTCTGCAATAAAAAAATTAGTAACGAAAACATTCAACTAAATTTAATAACCACGTTATGGGTCCTTTAAAAGCTACTTTGGAGCAGGAGTTTTACTACTCGCGCGAAGTTTAACAAAACAAATAAAAACATACAAAAATCAGTGACGATTGATTTTTGGGATTATGTCTCTGACTCCATCTGCTGAAGAGCCCTTAGGGCTTTCTGGGCAGCTGTTGATTTTGCAATTCGGAAATTTCTTCCCGTGGCAACGAAAGTTCCACAACCTGTTACAGTAAGGGTACATTTGAATTTACCATCCACCATTCTCTCTACCGGCCTACAAAGTGATTCCACAGCAAAAGATGAAAAAGAAAAAGACAAAATGAGGAAAAAGAGAAATTGGACTGGCGAGCATTGTAATCAACTGGTCAACAACGATCAGAGCCATCTAATTGTTGAGAATACAAAAGTGCTTTTCCTTCGAGTAAGAGTATTATTATTCGAGTAAGAGTAGTATTATTACTGTATCCACATTAATCTCCTTCCCCCACCCCTCCACCCCGAGATGCAGCATGGGAGAAAAGTGTCTTGTCTGAGAAACGAATAAATTGACTTTACAGGCTAAAGCATGAGACCGAACCGGTAAATCTGGTGTTCAGTGTGCTGCCAATTTGCATTTTTAATCACCCATCAGCTTTACTCGAATGTGAGATCAAAATAAAGACTCAGGATGCGATAAAAGTTTGTCGGGGAAAAAGGAACACACTCTTATATTTTACCTTCGCAGACCTTCGAAAAAGAGAGGCGTGAAATTTCCTAAACTATTCCCAAAGCCACCCCCCCCCTTCCCTACCACGGAAAGTCGTCCCGGCTCGAGCACAGGTCCTGTCCTCCGGCACAATCAGTTCGATCCCGAACTCTTGCAGCATCTTAAGGATTAATAACAGTTGTGCTCTACTGGCTCTGATACACCTGATCCTAAATATGTAGTAGGGAGATTTAGCAAACACAACGCAACGCAAAATGAGGAAACAACAGCTTACAAAATCGTTGGAATGCGAGTGATTTTAAGCGGAAGTCTTAAGTAAAAAAGTTGCGTCGCAATTTTGAAGGTTTATACATCTCGTTTACAACGCAATGGCGTTCACATCATTACGCGCGCCGTTAAGAAAGCCTTTCGTCTTCATTCCTAAATCTCTCCATGGTCATGAACGTAATGAATAAGTAGACGAGTGGTACATACGAAAACTTGGCTGCATAAGGCTTCATCTCCAACAATCGCCGAATGGCTGACATGGGAGGATGCTCTGAGTAGTAATCTAAAGAAATAAACCAGAAATATTGGAGAAAATGTCTGTAACTATCGTAAAATCCAAAACCCAAGCAAAAACAAGCAAACTGCGGGCAACCAAGTCTCCATTACAGTTGAATCTCTCCAAAACGGCCACCCGGAGGACAGAAGAAAGTGGCCATGGTGGAGAGGTGGCCATTATGGAAAGGTAGGGGTGACTGTATAGACAGCCCACCGGGACCAAAAATAGTGGCCATTGTGGAGAGGTGGCCATTGTAGAGAGGTGGCCGTTGTAGAGAGGTGGCCATTGTAGAGAGATGGCCGTTAGAGGAGGTTCGTCTGTAATTTAGTTTTGCATCTGACCGGTTGAAAAAAAAGGTCTCGCACATCACAGAAAGAAGTGAAGCCAAACTAACTATAGGTGAAAATTAGTAAATGGAAATTTCTGCGTACTCACCCATCGAGGGCTTGAGAATCGGCAGATAGACTTCCCACACCATTTCAATGTCTGCACCACAGTCCAGATACATGGCACCAGCGACAGCCTCAAACAGATCGCCCAGCACCTTAGGTAACTCCACCTGCTCAGGATCATCTCTTCCCTCGGTTTCCATCACAAAAACACTGGAATAAATCTGGAATCAGCAAGGAGGCTTTTGTTAGCCAGAAGGTAGAGAGTTACATGCTCGATTCATCAAAATTAAGAAATAGATAACTTACCATCTTTCTTTTTCTATTTACAAAACATGACGCTATCGACATTGCCGATCCTAGTAGTATGCAAGAAGCGTGTCACATATGAACGTTGCAATAGGCCTTGCTCACCATAAAGTCGCTGTGGCCCAGAGGTAGAGGATCGCAGCGCGGAATCCGAAGGTCTGAGGTTCCATTTCTCATGGGGACTCGGAATTTTTTCTGTCCTACGCTCGTGACAGGACAAAAAACATTTTTCTATATTGCTTTACCAAGCGCAAAACCTATTATCTTGCTTGTTCTTTACAAAAGATAACTTGCTTTAGCAAACAAGGGCTTTGGTCAGACGACTTCATCTCACCTCGTCATTCTTCCTATGCGTTCTTGCATGCTTCCTCTCTTTCTCTTTCAGCTTCACCATAAACTTGTTCACCATGCCGAACAGCTGTGGAGAGCAGGACCTCAAATGTCTAGGAAATCCCAATTTCACAGCCAGAACAGCAAAACTGTAGTTGTTTACCAAAGCAGTTCGCAGATCAGTCAGCTCGCCTGGGGACATGTGTCTGTGATTTACGTACAAATAACGCGTCACTAGGAAATCCAACAATGCATCTCCCAAGAACTCCAGTTGTTCATAGCTGTTTCTAACTGAGTTATAGTCCCCAGGTAAGGAACTATGGGTGAAGGCTTGCACTAACAGAGATTTGTCATGGAAGAGGTAGTGTAGAGCTTCCTCCACATCCTTGAACTCGTCAGCTGTCGACTCATGTTCTGAAGAGAGCCTACCGATTGATGCACTAGGAACAGTTTCGTCGTCTAACAAGGACAAGTTTTCTTGCAATGTTTCAGAAGCTTGCTGAGGTACATGGGACGTATAGTGATGACACATGGTTGAGGCTGGTTTTGGAACTGCATCGCCAGCGGAATCATCAGAAGATGGTTTGTGCACTAAGTTTTCATCTTTCTCGTCTCTCTCTATTTCCATACCCAACCATTCCAGAAACTTGAAAGCTCCATCCTATCCAAAACACAAAAGAAATGCCCCCATAAGGGCTTCGGTGCAATCAGCAATGGATTTATCAGAACAACAGACATGAAGGTAAGAGTTCAGTTGGACATCAGGAGATTCGCCTTGCCGACAATCAGAGTTGTAACCTGAACTTTCCGTCTCCGCGAAAATACTATCATCATCTTCCTCGTCATCAACTTCATCAAGAAATGTGTCAGAAATCACGCTATGATGATCGTAACCCGAGTTTTCAGCGTTGCTGTCGTTGTCAAGATAGAATCCAGGCGGCAGCCAATTTACCAAAGGGTTGAACACTCGGGTGAACATGTAGGACGGGAGACCACGTTGCCTTGCCAGATAAAACAGTTGCCGGTTCCTTACTTTAATACCCCGGAGGAACGATAGAACCCCTTCGTTCTCGTACCTGTGTTTGAAGAAAACAGAAGAAGAAATGGCATACTTCACAAATGAATCGCCAAGAACTTCAAGACGCTCGAGAGAAAATACATCTCCAGCCAAGGTTGTTGTTAGAGCACGTAAAATCAACGATGACGGCGGGCCACAGGTTCGGTACAGGTTCGAAAGAACCGGGTCGGTCCAAATTGAGACAGCAGACACCTCGCTTTCTTTGTCATTTGCTGGTATTGAATCGCAATCAAATGCTCTACGCTCTGTTGGAAGGGGTACATTTAAGTCAGACAACTTATTTGGCCAAAAATCTTCTTTTTCTTTACTGGGGATCAGGAGACCTTGATGAGGTGCTGGACGAAAGAGTGGTTTGCACTCCGTTTCAGCGCAAGAATGTTCAACAAGAAAGGTCTCAGAGCTCATTGACAAACAGCTCTCTCTGGCGCCATTAGAGAGCCCCCCGGCAAGGCTTTTGGCAGCAGATTTCTCAGTCAGTTCTACTTGATTGGAGATCTTGAGATCCATAAACACTTCCGGTAGCTGTGCGGAGAAAGGAGAGGTCAGGTTGACCAAGGCCACCTGGGAGGACCTTTTGCCGTTTGACTCTACTGCAGAGGACCCTATTGCAGGCAGAATTTCCTCACCCATCGTCTCTCCAACTGTCACCGGTGGCAGTGGAACATCCTTTGGCCAATCCACAACTCCTATACCAAGATCCCTAACAACCCAGCATCTTAGCTCCTCGGCAACCAGAAGCGATTCGATACGATACAGCACAGCTGGCAGATTAGATAGCTGCCGCCAGAGGTGTCCTGGCACCGGATGAATGGAACACAGCTCAGGAATCAGGTACACCTTCGACTTCCTTGACCGCTTGGAATTCTTCTCTGGTATACGCGGGTGTTGTCCTTTGAAGTTCTCATAATTCGGTAACAGGAAGTTCAGTCGGGATGATGTGTGATCCACATCTAGCATGGGTTGGTCCAGGGATACCTCCACATCGTAACGAATTTTAACGTACTCTGCAAATGTACCAGCTACTTCAATATTTGGAAATGGGTCTGATGGGCTGAGATCGTAGCATATGTCAGCCACATAGTAATGGCTTCGTTTCTCGTTGTATGTGGCCGTTACAACTGTATCTCTGAAAATCTCAGCGTCGGTGATGTCAGGTGGCCCGGAATAGACAGGATTTTTAAAGCAGCCTAGTTTGTCCTCTAAGGAGAACATGAAATCAAACGCAACTTCCTTGTGATTGTTTGAAGAAAGTCCTGCGAGAGAGCGGCTACTGGAGGCATCCTTTAGAAATAAGATGTAATAACCAGAAAAGGCAATGGTTGGGTCAAACGATAAGAACGTAGCTGAAGATTCCTTTTTCGGTCTTGCGATCTCCTTGAAGACATACTCGGTGAATCTCTGCAGGAGTGAAAGCTGGTCAGCGGTCAGGAAAATAGATTGTGGACAGCACTCAGTGACAGTCACAGTTACTTCCCCTGCTCTGTCAAATATTGCAATACGAGGCAACTGTAAAAGAATTGAAAATAAATCGTCACTTTAATTACAGCTTGACGGTGAGGGATTCAAACTAAACTAAAATTTGAAGTGCATTTACCTATAGCCATCAAATCAGGGGCTTCTGGCGAACACATCTTTAGCGAAAATTGGTCCGTCAGTTGAATCTAAGAAAAGTAATTCTTTTTCTTTTAATATCATATATGAGGGCTCATTTCATATTTCCTGAGAATTGGGAATGTTCAACAGGTTTGAAACGAAATTAGTCAGAGGACAAACCCGGTTTATTAAAGTCCTACACCGCGAAAAGAAAATTGAGTCAGAGGTTCCTTTTTTGGCGGTTTTATAACATTGTAATTTTCCAGCTGTACCACCTTCACTTTAAATTATTTACCCCCTCCCTGTCATCTTCCTAACTCACGCCAAGTATGTTCTTCTAACCTTGGGTAATGGTTTCCTGGATAGAACCCCAATACTGTAAGAATCTGAGGTCGCCTTTGCTTTACTTCTTGACCTGAGAGCACGTTCAAAGTTCCACGGTTTGGTCAACTCCATGGTGAGCGAGTAGACATAGCATGGTTCACCACAAACGGGGAAATTGTTTTCTAGCAGGGTAGGGAACTGCACAGGAAATCAGAAAGAGCCATTACAAACCTCTAATGCGTTACAGTCCTGAGGAATTTTTAAAGAAGAGCCATCACATACAATCAATAGCACGTAGCCTGGTTATAAGTTATATAATTCGTATTCAAGATAAACACCAAAAATTAACCTGATTGACAAGCTTACTATGTAAATGGTGTGGGAGACGAATGGCATTCTTTTCTCTTCTTTGGAAAACCTTTCAGGATTGTCCTTGTCTCTGATCTCGACGAAACGAGTGCCAATTATTTTTCAGCCACATATTTTATCCTAATTATCTGAAGCACGGCATCCTTGTAAACCAGGTTATTTTATTTATCTTATTCTATGTTTTTAGCAAGGGCAGAAATAACGTTTAGTAAGGGCAGAAATAATTTTAACGTTGTATTAACCTAAGGTTACCTTAGTGTTGGTATGTATAATTATTTATACGCATAATCTTGCAATTCATGAAAGATTAACCATGAGTTAAAAAGTCGTTTGACTCGACTTCAATTTCAAAGATACATGGAGGGTAGGTAAAGCGAGGAATGGAAACTATGTTGATACCTTTCTCTTGTAAGCTCGGTTTCTCGTAACTGTTCCGTCTACTCCAACCCCACCATCGGCAACTTCACAGTCACACGGTTCATGTTGAACCGTGAGATTATAAGCGTGCCACCTACGAAGGATTGTAAACAATAGGGAATGCATCATCTTCATTAAAAGAAGAAATATGGGGGTGGTGGAAAAGGGCGATAAGATAGAAATGCTATGTTAATTAGGATCATGCATCATACGTACCTATAACCGCAGTTCAAAATATATGAACTTCATATATTCATCATATCTGATTTATCATCACGGGTTTCTTACGAATCAACTTAACGGCCCGCTCCCAGTTGGCTTATTAGCTCAATTGGTAGAGCGCTGCACTAGTATCGCAGAGGTCAGTGGTTCGAATCCCGTACAGGCCTGATTTTTTTCAGGTCTAATTTTCGCTATTGCATAAATAGCGCTCTCTACTGCGAGGATCATGCATCATACGTGTAAATTAGCTGTTGTAAATACTCTAATTAGGGTTTCAATACAGGTTACTGAAACGCCACCCTATGATGTAGCAGTATTAAACTAGTCAAGTTTACCTGAATAAAGGTTGAAGATCGTCAGTTAGTTCTTCTCTTTTGTGCAACAGTCGACAAGCCTCCAGAGCAGCCAACATTTCAGACTTGACTTTGGCTTTTCTCATTGTATCCTCATTAATGTCAGTTGTCTTCAGTGTTACACTGCCCTGGATGACAAAATGTGTGTAAACTAAGCTAGGGAATCAATCTTCGAACAAGAATCCACATAACCCTCAACACCACAACATCAGCATGCATTTTCTCCATACTGTTCTATATACATTGTCTAAGGTGCTGACAAGGTGAATTTGTTTAACAATCAAGAGCTTGTTTAGTTGGTGATCATTTCCTTTATTCTCCTGACCTTAATGTGTGATTCAGGGATGATAATTTAAGGAGAAATTAGATGCTGGTCACTGTTAGGGTCAAAGGGTTTATGTTTGTATGCTAGCCACAAGACCAGGCTCTAGTACACACTTGTCTTTTTTAATTACTGCTTTTATAAAATATATGATAGGCACAGAGAAGCTCATGAACAATTTAGTGAACATTAATTGACACAAGTCATCAGATAATATATGATTCTCCCCACTCTGGGTACCTAATTACTGAGTTTTTAATACCTTTATGGGTTGGTAAACAGGAGAGTTCCGGGGAAGGAACAGTGTAGCGACAAACTGTACTTCCTTGTTAGACCATACTTCTTGCATTCTACACACAGGTACTGGATAACCCACTCCACTGCTGGGGAACTTGCCACAATAGCTGGTGAATAGTACAGAGGATATATAATAGTTACTTTTTCATAGCTGAATGAGATTAAATCCGTAAAATAATACATTCTTTTCACAGAACAATTTTCACAAGCATAGGAAAAAGAGAAAATCTAGAAACATGTATCATGGACTTGAGCAAGTAGTCACTGCTGCACTGAAATGGAGGGTGGGTGCCTGAAGTACCTAGAGGTTTCTTTTTTTGTCCAGCCAGCCCCCATATAAGAAACCACCCCCATTTCAAGCAACTGTTAATGCTGGTTGAATCAATGGAGGACAAAAAAACAGGGAGGGTTTAGAGTAATACACTTTATCTAAAGAGGGTGGGGCTGAATAGTTAGAATAACTAACTTGTTGCCCTCTATCTAAAATTGTAAGAGAAATAAGATATTATGTGTATGGCCGGGAGTGTACAGAAAAAATTATAAGCTGATGAAAAATTCAATATTTAACTATAGAATTTTTATCACGTGTTTGAATATCAACTGCTGTTGGTTGAAAGGGGATTGCTTGAAAATGACTACTACTTATGATGGACGATCCTCGCAGTAGATAGCGCTATCTACTGCGAGGATCGTCCATCATACGTATCAAATACCGCAGTTCAAAATATATGATTTTCATATATTTATTCTATCTCAATGACTACTACTGTCACAAAAGCCCTCAGGACTGCAGTGGAATGACCATTACCAAATTGCTCAAGAAGTCAAGGATGCCAGTTGTTGCAAAGTTGTAGTATTGTATGGGAGCCTACTCTGGTGACCATAGTAGCCCCTGAGCCTACCAAGGTTAGGTCTAGTACACTTAATTTTGTGTTATTTCTCATTTGACTAAATTAAACACTGCATTTCCCACCTGTTAACAAGAGCAATACTGGAGAGAAGCTCAACCTTAGCACCTCCTTCGCCTAAGGGTTGATAGACATCTGCCTGGCTTTCTTGAAACAGTTTCCTTGTCTCATGGCCAGGAGGCCGGCTATTTGGACACCTCTCCCATAACAGTTTCTCAATCCTCTGAAAAATCTGCAAGCAATAATGACATTACTGGTCAGGGGTGTAGTCAGAATATTTCAAAGGGGGGTCACACTGACCTCCATGCAGTGTTTTACCTAAAAAAGGGTTACAACGGGGGATCACAGGCACCCCAGGACCCCCTCTAGTTAGGACCTTGCTAGTTTCTGTTAAATATGATTACTCGCCATACTTACTAAATCAAGTACTTTTAACATGACAGGACGGAAAACGCGTGCACTGTAAGTACCTCCTGTTGTCCCATACAAAGCCTTAGAAAACTTTTCTAAGGCTTAGTGTGGGACAACAGGAGGTACTTACAGTGCATGCATTTTCCATCCTGTCATGCCAGTTTTATTCCCAATCTTAACATATTAACCATAATAAAAATCACCAAAATATTGTGCATATGAGAACAAATACTATACTTGGAAATTAATAAAATTTCAATGTTTTAATTGTAAGTTAAGGCTGCCGTCACACTTTTAAGTGTCTGGCACCATTCAAGACAACTTGAGCCAACAGGAAAATTTTTGCAAGGGTGTAAGTTCAGGTTTAGAACAATTCTTTCCAGGTTTAACAATTCAACTGAACCACTTGAATACTGGACAGTACCTGGTATTTTGCTTCTGTCTCAGCCAGTTCTTCTTCTCTCACAAGAACTACAAGACTGCCTCCAGCGGACTTAAGTTTGCTCTTTACACTGTAATAATTCTCGTAAGTGTTCGGCATACCCAAACGAATCAACAGACTACATCTCTTGGCATACAGTTCTTGTTCAATTTCAAATGTTGCAATCAGAACATTAAAAGAGCCATCTTGAACACACACCATTACATTTTCGTCTACTTCATCAGAAAAGCTAGACTCTTTCATTTCTTCTTTTGCTTTATTACCATGAATGCATGCACTCTTAAGGAAACTGTACTTTACTACAGCATTAGAAAGTTTGTTAAGAAGAGAATTCAGTGCCTTAGCAATGATTGTGCTTGGAACAAGAATGACACACAGAGGGTCATTGCACTGATTCTTAGTGCCATAGGATGTTTGCAAGTTCAAAGACTGAGTGTTTGGGCCTTGAAGAATGTCTTGACTTTCACTTGATGAAACCTTGTCTATGAGACATGATTCACAGGATTGGAGAGGTTCTTCATATAACCCCTGATTAGTACCTAAGGTTGGCACTGAGTTATTTACTTCCTGATGTTCAGGTTTTAGATGCATTGATGTGCGAGAAAGAAGTATTGATCCAAGATCAGTTAAGTCATTCACGGAAACTTCCAACTTTTCTTGTTCTAAAATACTTATGACTAACCTAATCTGCGTTCTACAGAATTGCAAAATAAGCACAATTTCACAGTCCACAGACTTCTTCTCCAGCTTGTCAATCTCCCTAACAGTTATTTTTGCCATGTACCAGGTACACCACGATCCCAACAATAAAAGAACCCTGTGGCCCTCAGTCAAAATATGTCTTGCAAATATTACACAGGTCTCAGTCACCTGATTCATTCTGTAATCTTTTAGAAAGAATAAAGCTCTTTCAAAAATTTTGCTTAGATTGAAAATATGTGGATCCTGAACATGACTACAAATAAAACAACCAATTTCCATTTCAGTGTATTCTCCATATTGGTTCAAAGCCAGAAGATCACTAGAAATTAGTGTTCTGCAATTAAAAATCTGCTCCAGTGAGGTTAAAAAGATTTCCATATCTTCTGAACAATCTTGATGACAAAGAATTTGTGATGAAAGGCCCATAATGTGTGGTCTAGATTCAAGATTACTCTCTTTCATTTTCTGAAGTATAATAGCAAAATGATGCTCCTGATTTAAGACAAGGTGACATTGGTCAAAAATAATTAAACTGCATAATGACAATTCCATTGTTCTAGCGATCAACCTCTGTGCAAAAGCCTCTCCTGTTGTTACTATTATGTCGCACATGGAGAAACTGCAGTTCCACTCATCTTCAACACCTGGTTTCTTGAAAAATGCTTTTACAGACAGGAGACTTTGGTTTGATATTCCTGTTAGGAAAGGCTCCACAATGGTGGCTGGTGAGATAATAGAGAAGATCAATATGAAGACCTACATGTAATAACCTCTTCATGCAGTATGCCAAACAAACAGGGTAGTGTACTTAGCAAGATTACCTTTTTTTCACTTCTATTTAGATGGGTTTAATGATGATTTGGTGATCAGTTTGACTTTTGAGTCTGATTTCTGCCCATGTGAATAAAAGTTCAGCACAAGTAACCATAATACATGTAGCACCCCAAATATGATGCAAAATGTACTTCTCTTTACCATACAATACCAATAGATTTTCAAACACAAAAGTGATACGCTAGAAAAACATCAGTCTGGCAATATTGTACGATTTAATACCAAATTATCGGAGCTAAACATATAACAAATGTAAGGCCAGTAAGTTGTGACTAGTGATAAGTTACCTGAGTTAAACTATCAATGATTATGAAACAATTTCTATTTTTCTACGGCAGTACAAAAAAAAAAACCGTTAACTGATTAAGAATAATCAAGTCCTGGTTGAAAAGTAGGCTGCAGTGCCCATTTGCTCAGACAATTCAACCTCACCTTTCTCATCATCCACCAACAGAATCATTTTGCCACATTTCACGTTTCTTCTCCAAAACTCTTGACACACATTGAATGCAATGAATGTTTTAGACTTGTCCCTTGAGACACAAACAACGCAAGATTGTTCGCTCGCCAGCACTCGTTCAGCTATATCAACAGAATGATGTGGCCAGACAAATGACATCTCCTGAGCCCTTTCCATTTCATCCCAGTCTTTTTCTTTTCGAGTCTTTTTACACCACTTCTGAGATCCACGAATGTAATCTTTGGACTATATCTAGCGTCACTTTAAAAATTAGGAGATAATAGTGGAGGCCACGTTTGCCTTGGTCCTTCGTTCCCAGTCTTTAGCAGATGACGAAAATTCAGGGCTGCACAAAACGCTAACCGGTGGGGGTAGGTGAGGGTAGGGTGGGGGTAGGGTGGGGGCGAGCTCAGGAATGATGGAATAAGAGTGCATTCTGCCATGGCTAATCAGGTTCCTGCCCGCCCTTGGCTGAAGCATCTTCAAAAAATCAAATACCCAAGTGCCTAATGACGTGACAAGGCAGGCAAAACAGCAGAGAAGTATATCAAAGGATCAGTTTTGTTTTTCAGTAATATCTTTTTATAGCAAATTTTGAAGTTTTGTAAAGATAGCATTTTCATGTGCCTACCTAAAAGCAAACCAAATTCACTACACCTTAATTGATATCCCATTCATAAGCAAACAATGTCTCATTTTGTCTTTTGTACTTATTATTTTTTTTTTTAACTCCTAAAACTCAAAATTTGTGCTATGGCTTGCTCATCATTTGCATGCAAATACATTGTAAACAGTGCATGCATCCAACAGGATTAGAATGCACAACCAAAGGCATGACAAGGACAGTCCAGGGTAAGGCTGTGCTCTAAGAAAAATTGAAGGGTGCCCAGTGCTCTGAAACTGTGAAATCCAGGGTGCCCTGGATATGCTATATATGAAAAAAACTAAGATTCCTGAGTCGCCCAAGAGCAAAAGTAAGGCGTCAGGGGCCACTGGGCGCTGCTAGACCACAGCCCTGAGGGGTACATGGGTGCAAATGCTGGTGAGATACTTGAGCCAAACCCTAAGATAGAAATATAAATGCAATGAAAAAAATGATAAGCTCTTACACCATGGGTACAAAGGAATGGTCACAAAAACAAAACATGGCTAACATGATCTGGCTTTAGTTTTCCTTCACATTTTGGCAATCCCCTCCCCAAAAAAGAAAATAACATATCAGTTTATTGTTTGTTTTCCATTTCTCATTTCTCTTTATTGGTATCTTGATTAGTTTTGCAACATTTCCAAAAAGTTAGAAAATTCTATTAAGAATTTACTCTCATAGCAAGAGTATTTATCCTCTGACTCTTTTACAATAAAGTTTCCTTCTGAGACAAAGTTCTGAGACAAAGTTCTTTCATTTTTAATTTTGGCATTTTTAAAACTGCATCAAAATATTACTTTAGGATTTCAATCATGTTTTCTTTCCCTGTAAAGTTAAGTGTGTTGATAAGAAAAAAATTTGAAAAAAAAAGCTTGACTTTTCACATAACAAGGCATTTCCTTTTGTCATAGCCACATGACATTGTAGATTTGGTGACAAAGTCTGGAACACAGCTTTCCAAAAGACGGCTATCAAGGAAACCTTTGAAAACCCTTACAGAACATGCATTTATGAAGGTGTGATTGCAAACAGAAATGGCTATTTCAGTTTTTAAGCTCCATTTATCTTCCTCTGGGTCATAACCTTCAATTTTCAAGCGTAAATCTTTGATCGTACAACCTGATTTGCCCACACTCACAAGGAGCAACGCATACAGATTTCCATCAATAGACAAAAGATTTCTCAAATCTTTTGGTCTGAAATCAAGACATTTAAAACTTGCAATAAACTGCCACTCATTTGTTTCTGGATTATACACTTCACAAGGCTGAATGGTTTCTCCAGCATTTATTCCACCAGCAATGAAGATCTTTCCACCTACTGCAGCACCATACGTCCAATCTCGGACTACTTGGGTGTTTGGAATTTTGTCCCATTGCTGTTTTCCAAGGTGGTACCTTTCAACATCACTCACAAGTGTGCATTTGTTCCCTTGTTGCCATTTTATACCACCAATAAAATATACAAAGTCATCATGAGCCACAATGCACATGTCCTCTCTAGAATGCAAATGATTCAGTTTTCCTATCAATTCCCATGAATTTGAATCTGGTTTGTACTTAGTGATGGAGAAAATATGTTTTTCCTCATCGCAAAACAAGCGGCGGGCATGCAATCGACAAAAATCATCAAAATGCTTGGCTCTATTGGTGCACGGTTCTGCTTCCAAGGCATAAATTTCATCTTCATCTTTAATAAATATTTGACGCATATATCTATTTTCCTCTATGGAGGGTAGTTGCACCCAGCTGTTGCCATATGGATTATAGCATACATGTTTCCAGTATTGCTCATTTGAGGCAACTGATTCTAGAACAGTCCCATACAGTTTTCCATGACAAGAGAAAACAGGGCCATTTCTGATGTATTTAGGAGGCATCTCTCCCATTCTGCACCACTTATGTTCTTGAGGAAAATAGCACACAACATCTTTGCTCCCATAGCAAAGCAGTACAGACGTCTCAAGGGACCTTCTTGGTCGAGCGATTAATGGATTGTCGAAGTCCTCCGAGTCAATCAATTTCAGAGCCTCTTCAACAAGACCTAAACATCCATTGTCCTTTACCAGGTCATCAGTCACAATATTGTTGCAGAGAAAGTCACGCGAAACGTAAACAAGGCGAACGCGAGAAAAGAGCTCTGCAAAGCAGTTATTTCTTCTTCTTCTGTCCCGCTTTATCCAAGCTAAAATTATTTCAAACACATCTTTCTCAGCATTTACATCAATTTCGTCTTCTGAAATCCACATTTCGATTTCTTTGCTCGACAAATTCAAGAACGCATCTGTTTTGGAGATGGTGCTAAAATTTTTGAGAACAAACTTTTTGCTCATGGACGAAAGTTGCTCACTCTGATATCTCTCGAAAAAATAATAGTTTGAAAGACAATTTGAGATATTCAGCTCTAGTTTTGGGGCTAAAACTCCCTCTGCGAGAGCTTTCAAGTCGTGAAGAAACAGAAAGTCGGCCATGGCAATCATCTCTCGAGCTTCTTCAGCTTCGATCTCTACCTGACCACTATAGATAAACTTCAGCGTGTTTCTCATAACAGCCTCAGTGAACATCTCCAAGCGAATCACTCCTTCCTTAGACTCTTTCATTTCGCTGTTAAGCAGCTTTTCAAAGAAGGGACTTGCTTTGGAAAGAATTTGCTTGTGAGCCTTGAATTCGACGTCTTCAGCCACAAGAGTGACATCAAATGGCTGGTCGAGTGTTTCTTTCGCAATACCGGATTTGAAGTCTTCATTGCTTGGGCGGTGAGAATTACACTGTATACAACTACCAGCATCTTTTGAGTCGATTTTGATCATACTCAATGAATGGAAGTGTTCAAGCTGAACACAATCTGTTCATACTATTCAGCTGCTGCCCACCTCTATTTCCGACTTCTTTCCTCTTGTCTGTGGTGGAGGATTTGGGAGAGAAACTGGACGCTAGTGAGACAGCGATCGCGAGGCGCGAGCGAGTAGCGTGTCGTCACGCGCGAACAGTGAGGGCTTGAACTATCACTATGATGGGATGGGAAGATAAGCGTAAACGAGAGACACTTGAAGTTAATTTACAAGTTGACAGGTAAAAACGTGCATAGCCATAACCTGTCACCCATACAAAATAGAATTGTGCTATATTTTGCCTTCTTCAGGTAAAATTATAAGTTTCATTTGAAAAATTTTTGCTTGGTAACTTTGTGGTATCATTGATTTGAATTGCATGCAGTAAGAAATTAGACTTAATTTACAGCATGGGAGTTGGTAAGCATAAAGAGAAAGGCTGTCAAATCAAATGGCTAGAAATAATTTAAAAAATTAACTTAAATTTACTAGTTTACTTTTTTAACAGTTATCATTATAATTATACTTAACAGTTTTTTCGTACTCCCCATTATCTTTGTTTTCATAATGTTTGTCATGACAGTTTTTACAGATTTCCAGTCATTCTAATATTCATGCAGACTCATACTAGTTGCTTATCGTCTCATTGAAATTCAGCTGAACCGAGAGCTGAAAGAGTCGAGACATAGCGTAATCCTCTTGGATATGTTCATGTAAATCATTCATGATCGACAAACATACAGAATTTAATTCCATAATAGCTCTCGTTATCTTCCCAGATTAATCTTGAATTTAAGAATCTTCGGCACATTTCTAATGGTAAGTGAAATTCTTGTAGTTCGTTGTAAAGTGTCCCCAAGTATAGTATTTTTACAGGCATCTAGATTAGCCACCTTATCTGTGACAACATCATAAGTTCTCTCTGCAATACCATGCAAGTAATTGTGATAGAGGTCTTCTGTCAAGATGAAGAGGCTTCTGGGCTCCAATAAAAGTGACATAAAATAACGTTCATCCAGTGTTAATGATGAAGAGTTCTCCTGAAGGTAAAAAATAATAAATTCGTCTTTATGCAATGACTGTCATACTATAAGGGTCAAATGGTCAAAATCATTGACTCAGCAATAAAGGGACTCACTTTCAGACTTTGAGCCCAAATTGGTCTCTCATTATAGCCCCTCTTCCTACCTCATAACACAAGGTATCTGCTATAATCCAGCCCCCTGACTGCACATGAGATCATGGTACCTGATATAAACCCACCCACCCCTACACAGGAGATCCACTGTAGGTGGTAAAAGCAATAACCCCACCATCCTGCATAGGAGATCCATGGTATCTGCTAATTTAAAACCCCACCACCCAAGTAACTTAGTGGTTACTTGATTTGTTTGTTATTATTCCTTATCTTCACTATTATCTAAAGCTAGCCCCAACCTCTGTATTCTCTTCCCTCTTATTCAAAGGATGGTAAAAATCCAAAAAGGTGTGAGATCCAAGATTTATTGTTGACACCACTGGGTAGAACAATGGACCATCTTCGTGAGGCTGAAAGACAGAAAAACAGTAAAGAGGGTGAAAACTACTTGACGAGTTGATTTTAGAATTTCAGTCTGTGATTAATTAAACGATAGCTTTATAAATATCATTTAAAACCTTACCATAATGCCTTGACCAGGTTCATACTCATTCACTAGAACATGATTTGGAGTGACAGTGTTAAAAACTGACAGGGATCCAACTTGAGTTGTATGTTTTTCCAGCCACTGAAATTGTGATAATCAAGTATTAGCAAAAGTTAAGCAGAGAAAAATTAATATCTGGATATAATTCAATTTTAATCAAGGTAAGGTGAGATCAATTACATACCCTCGGCAGTTTTTCTGGGACCATTCCCTGTAGGAAAAAAGAAGGAAAACAATTGGAGATTCAGCAAATTCAAGACTGACCCACTAGCCCCCTACAATATCATAAAATTCCTACATTATCAAACAGAAAGATGAAGGAAGAAAACAGTTACAAGGGGATATCACTGTAAATTCAACATGCCACAGAATTTTCAAAACTTGCAAAAATTGTATAACAGAAAGTGGTTCAGTTGGAATTATTAGCCTGGTGGTTGTTTTGGACAGCCATGCACTTATTAGCCTGGTGGTTATTTTGGGCAGCCATGCACTTTATTTTATTTGTTTTATTACTTTTTTGTGATGTAAATTTAATTTAATTTAGGGTGCAAATAAAGTTTTTTTCGTTGTTGTTATTGTTGGAATTCGTAATGACATTTTAACCCTTAAAGTTCCATGGGTGACCAAAACAGGATTTCCCCTAATTACAATATAAAATAATAAGGAAGAAGAAAGATATCAATTAGAGGATTATTATTTATTAATAATGCTGGGCATCATTTTCATTAGAACTTTTGAAAAACAGGATCATTTTTTGTTTCAGTCACACAAACGGAGTCACAATATTTACACAGAATTTAATAAAAACTACTGAAATTATAGTTTTTATTGTTTACCTTTGGGTGAGGCAGACCACCTAAAAAAAATTCCAAATAAAAACATCAGTTTATCATTCATATCTATTCTGCATAGCTGTATTGTTTCAAGTTGCTTGTTGGTTTAACATTTTTCAAGTATAACTGTCATTTTTTTTTTGCTTTGAATTTTTTCTCATAAATCATGATTAAATCGAAGGAAAACGAAAATCAAACAAAGGTCAACCTATTTATTATATTCTGAAACTGCATGAAAAAAGATAATTGAAATTTACAATGTTCCTTGTCGTTGTCCAAATTTTCTTTCAACAAAACTAATTCAATTAACAAAACCTATATGGAACCTTAAGATTATTCACAAATTGACTGTAGTTAGGTGGCAGGTACAAAAAGCAGGTCACAGGTTACAGGTCACAGGTCACAATTAACAGGTCACAATTAACAGGTCACAATTAAAGAGTTATACACCGGATAGAGCAAAGGCATTGCATTATAGTGTTCCATTTCCGGTCATCAGAAATGAACATATAATATACATGAACAAATAATATACAATTGTGACCTGTGACCTGTGACCTGCTTTTTGTACCTGCCGGTAGTTAGGACAATTTCAAAGGATTGATAATGATAGATCCTGAGACAGATTATGTCTGCTCACCCCAGTTTTGAAGTCTTCTTCCAGACAGCTTGGTCCATTTTGGCTTAGGAGCACCATTTATCTAATCAACGAAAGAATAAATTCAAAATTTTCTTGCCTTAATTGTTATGTATTTATTTGTTTACTTATTCATTTGTTTATTTATTTTGTTTTTGGTTGGTCCTTTTAAAAATGTTTTGAGCTTCATAATGAAGAATGATTCGAATTCTTGTTCTCAAAAAAGCAAAGAAAACAAAAGCAAAGGTCACCACTGTTAGGGATTGGCCTCACCACAGCGGAGTAAAAATCAGAACATCCGCCATCCCCATAAGGGAGAGAACAAAAGTTTAAATTTTTCAATATTCTCACCTGATCCAAAAGAAACTTTTCCTCGTCTTCTGAAATGAAGTTCGGAATGTAGAATGCTTTTGGCGGGGCCTAGAATAATTTTCAAGAGATTGAAATTAAAAAAACCGATCTAATGAGAATCAGTGTGAATCTAGCGTAGTTTTGTACCTTTTTTATAAGGTAGCTTTCTAACTCGAAACGATCAGCTGCGTCCGCCATATTTCCTACCCAGCCTTTCACGGCATTTTTTAAAGAGCGGTCGGGGAGGATCGTGGGCCTTTCTTTTTGCGACCAACACAGTAACTTTTAGAGGAAAATTGAAAAAAAGATATATAAAAATTCCAAATGTACTTGTAGTAATTCTTAAAAAGGAATGCAAAAAGTACTTCACTCGAGAATAAAATGAAACTGAGCTCGAGTGCGACAGCCGGGAGTCGAACCCGGGTCAACGGCTTGGGAAGCCGCCATGATAACCGTTACACCACTGTCGCCCACGCGTCAGAAAAGTGGGATTTTTAGGTAATTAAATCCTTTATTCTCTTTCACTGATAAACTTTCGTGTTTTTGGCTCCCACGAGGTCCTGATTTTACACACTGAGGGCTTAAAGACTTGAGGAAAAAGTTGAACCTTCCACGATTATTCGCGAATTCACAAATTAAGTAATCCCCTAAACTCGTTAACTAGGAAAACTGAATACCTCATCTTGACACATCTCGACAAGGGAGCTTAACATTGAGATCGACGTAAACATTTTGTCATTGATGGGAACCAATGAGCGTCTACCTTTGCGCTATTTTCGTTAAATTGTGGTAAAACAGAACAACAATGTTGTCAATACCTTTATTAACGGCACAGAACGTACCTCAATGTACAGGTATCGAAATTCAACCTACCAGCAGAATTAGTGTCCCCCTGCTGAGCAGTTTACAGTTGCAAATTTAAATTGCGAACAAGAACACGATTCCAAATGTACATACAAAGATTTTTGATTTGCCACTGAGACAGATGCGTTTAAAAAATTCAAGGTGAGTGAAACGTTCCTATGTGTCTTCGAAATTAGAGCTTTGCTGACAAAATCAGTCTTTATTTGAACGTACGTTAGTTTACGATCCATGCATTACCACCCTCATCGAAGCCATAGCTTTTGACTAAGTTTATCAGCGCCAAATTAGCGTTTTGGTTTTAGTAGTTAGGTAGTTACAGCCTGTTATTCAGTCATTGAGTATATAAGCAGAATATTTCCCATATCTTTAGCGTAAATATAATTAGAGTCGCCGATAGAGCTAAATTCGTTGATTTTGTGAATTGCTACAATTTGGCACTGAAATTTTGTAACCCAACTGACACAAACGACCTCACTTTTACCACAATTTACGATGCTATTTAACAAATGGTAAACACCACAGCGTACACTATTGAGTTATGGATGCACGCGGGAGGTTGCTAAGCACGAAAGAAGCGTAAGAGTCGCTCGAGGCGATAGCCGAGAGGGACTCTAGCTTCTTGAGTGCTTCGCAAACCTTCCAAGTGCATCCATAACTCAATAGTGTACGCTGTGATGTTTACCATTTGTTTTATAACATAACATTGATACATTGTAGCTAAAGAATTCCCTTTTATTTAACAAATCTTACGCGGCCACAAAAAACAAGCGCGCGCGGAAAAATAGTCTTTGCATTTGTTCACGTCAGCAGCGTACACCCATGGGCAAATGGGGGACGCTAAATTGACCAATCAGAGCGCGCGCTTTGCTTTGGTTATGTTATAATACTTATTCTCAGACTGTCTCATTCAAAGAAAACCTTTCAAAGTATTGTCAGAGAAATTTAACCCTAACCTACCTAGACTATAATACTTCTTACATTAGATGGTAGATTTTATGCTCGATCGTGCGAGGGTCGCATCTAGAAGTTAATTAAAGATGGAGTAGGGCTTGGTTTTTTGAGATAACATCGTTATGAGGAGTTTCAATTAACACGCCAGGCTTCTATTTTGATCAATTTCCGGGTTAAATGTAAAAGTGTTTTCTAAGCGTGCTAAAACTTACATCTAAACTGAATTCACGTGCGTGATTCAAAATGTAGACAACATTGAAAGCTTCAGTTTTTATTAAATTTTCATGTTCATGTCATCTACGTTAAAAAGAAAACCAAACTAGAAAAAAACAAACCAAAAGAATGACAACAATACAAAACAAACAAACTCACAAAGCAAACAATATAACTTGAAAGGTTTTAACTTTAGGTCTGGTCGATCTGAATTTAAAAAAGCCATGTGCATATATGTGGGGGTTAAGCGCATGTCTTACTTGAGATTCCTGCAACAAGAACAACAAAAAAAAATTATAGAGCAGATATAAATATAAAACAAGAATGATGATAATGAAAATTCTAATGATATTAAGATGATGATGATAATAAATAATACTTTCATGTGAATTATCAGTGTAAGATATCTAACAAGAGAATACTTTTAGCGTTACATTTCAAGTGACCACGTAGCGACACAGACAACAGCATTTCGGCTGTTAACTTTTTTTAACAACACTGTAAAAGTAAGCGCTCAAGACAATAAGCATCTATCGGGTTGATTAATTATTTCAAGTTCGGTGAGAGCTTTAGGCGAAATAGGATATGGAGCTAAAATGTTATGAGGGTTAAGTCGAGCAACATTGTTTGCTTTAAAAGCAAATATTTTCAATCAAATTTTATAAATTTGTTTTATTCCCAACCCAGAAAAGACATCTGCTTTCGGGAATCGCTTTAGTTAATAATACTCTGACTTGCCAGCGGCAAATCAACAAACATGAACGCAGGGAAAGTAGAAAGACGCCATAAAATCAGAAATAGAGAGGCAGACTTGGCGCAAGACCGGCAAGGAAAAATAACGAAACAGGAACTGCCAGTTTTGTTTTTACCTCCTGTTGTTGGCGATCGATCCTCGCACGTCAAGTGCGAGAACAACACTTCGCTTATGATTACAATGAAGAAGTTGAACAAGCGGCAGCAAAACTGTAAACACGTTCACCAAAAGCTTTCCACGACAGCTTTACAACTTCAGGTTAAAGAAGGATTGTTCTACAACTGCAAACAGGACAAAAAGCGATCGAGTTGTAACAATAAAATGACCTTTACGACGAAAAATACTTTTAAAAGGCCGTTTATTTTGCCATCATTACCAACAGTAGCGTTCCAAGGGCAAATTCGTAAGAAAGCAATGGCATCTCAAAGGAACCCAACGAAGCCCACAGGCTACAAAATGTTTCCCAAATATCTGCCGCGGATCAACACAAAGAAGACGCCATTACAAAGCAACGATACAACAGCTAACGGCCTCATAAACGTGTCTAACACGAAAACGATCGACAAAAGTTTTTCCCCTTTAGCGAGGAAGGCTATGAAACCTTTGCGAGCTGCAATATCTTCTTCGGCAACTTTGCGAGGCCTGATTTCTCTGGATTTAGAGGAGCAATTCGTTTTCCGATTTCGTCTTTCAAATTACGACGCTAAAGACATCAATATAACTTCTCTAAATAAGCCCGAATGAAGGATGTAGACACCAGTAATTGCTTATATCGAGTATATAATATCTCCCGTGAAAATAAAAGAAAAAGATAGGAGAAAGATGTCTGAGGAGGGCTCGATTTTATTAATGGACAATAACAATCAGTAGAGAATCATTTTCCCTCGTCAACAACGGAAATAAACGTCGAATGATTTTTGTTTTTCTTTAAGTTTTGGTGTCGGTGTGTGTGTGTGTGTGTGTGTGTGTGTGTGCGTATGTGTGTATGCGTATGTGTGGGTGTGTCTTTTTCTTCTTTGGTAAAGTTTAAAAAAAGATTTCAATTTTTTGTAGCGAAATAGCTGACATTTTATTGAAACAGACGTTCAGCGATACTAACTCAGATTGCAAACATCCAAAGGCCATCAATTCTTTTATTTTTTTTTCTTAACGTCATATAAAGAAAAACTACGATTTTTTTTTGATCAAGCTCACCATCGTCAACTGATTGAGTTCTTTGCAAAAGGTCGGAGTTGAGCAAGAAATGAAGGTCTGGAATTCGATTTCTAATTAAGGAGGGTGTCGCATTTTCTCCGCTGCTCCATGCTAGCGCTTGCTCGTAACGAAACGACTAGCCTTGTTTCAGGGGAACTTGACAGAGTGGGTTCCTAAATAATGCTTAGAATTTAAAGAGGAAAAAATAACATAGATCGTTCAACGAAAAGGCTTCTCCTCTTATCACTGCAAGTCTAAATGACTGAGTAATAGCGCGCGCACATTTCGCGCATAGTCGCGCGAGTACAAGTCTCCTTCAAATGCTGTTGTTTAGAATCGCCATGCGGCTCACTCTCTCCCCCCACGGTAGTGAGGGAGATCACGCGAGCAGCGGAGGTTTACGTATAAACTCACTTCTTGACGACGTAGTTGGCAACCCCGACTTGGCGATGAATAATCATCATGGAAAGAAAAGCCAAATATAAACAGATGAAACCTTCTTTGTGTGACTTTCTGAAAAATCCCTTACCGGTTTTAATTCGCATTTCAGAAAGAAGGGAGAGAAGCCTTCTTTTCTTGTTTTGAAAATCCCGTTGAAAAGTTTCGGACTTGTCAAACAGAACACTACTCACACATTTCACACGCGTGCCTTGTCAAACGAAAATGAAGTAACTCAGCTTCAGGAAATTTAATTGATTTTGATTTCATTTGAGATTAATTTACACCATACATCTACCTTTCCTTCCGACAAAAGAATTTGAAAATCATTCTTTTGTTGTGTTTGTGTCAGCACTTTGAGTCCCAATGCAAACAGGATGTGTTAACAAAATTTACATGTTGCAAACAATTAGCGCAAAGTGAACCCGGCCGTACTGGAACCTGATGAGAATTCGCTTGTAAAATAGCCAATCAAATTAAACGCAAAGACTTCCTCTGGGAAGAAGCAATGAAGTAATGCGCTGTATTCAATTTTTTCCCTTCTTCGGGCTGTTTTTTTGATGTTTAGTTTGGTACAAGTTGAGTGGCGACCCATTATCTGGAAGGGAATTAGACATTGGAGTAGTTGGTGTTGAGTTTCTCCCTTGTTCATCCCAACCTGCATTAGGCAGATAAACGTGAATTGAAAGCTTTCGACCGCTTTCGTCTTCTTTTAGCTGCTCTTTTTCCTCTGGGCTCAGACTTCGTCCTTTATGAACCACGTGTCGAGCCCATGGTATTGGTAACATTGGTGTCCTTCTTTCCGGCAAATTTGTTCTTAGATTGGTTGTGAATCGAGCTCTAAACTTCTGCAAAAGTTGCAGTCCTTCCTCGTCTGAATTATAAAATATAGAGTCTCTAGACTTCAGTTCAATGCGCCACTGCCTTTCCAACAAATTGAGTCCCTCCGGACTATTTTCAAAGCGTACGGGCTTTGATTTTCCACCTAGAAGCAAAAATATTTCTTCTTGGTCACCGCGTGTGTGCGTGGTATTCGCGTTGCTTGAGGCGAGGACTCTTTTGAAATAACTTTTATTAAGACCAAATTCACGACCGTTCATGGAAATCGTTGCAAGATCTTCGTATTGCCCCACCTCGTTTCTTCGGCATTTCATTCTCTTTAGACTGGAATAGAGCTTATTCAAAGAGACAGAGTGTGAAGTTATTTGGTTGACTCCGTTGCTAACCAGTTGTTCGGTCTTAAAAACGTCTGCGGCTTTTTTTGTTTCATCTCCTGCGGAAGACACACTACCTCGTTTCGGTAGATTTTGTTGAGATTCGGCCAAACTCATTCGTTGTCCTGTACACTGCATTCCAGCCAAGGGATGCGGCTCAAAAGTTTCAAAACTAGGGCCCGTTAATCGATTTTGTATTGAACGGCGCAAGTCATTTAAATGGCCTCTAGTCATATCTGTCTTTTCAAATGTGACTGCCTTTTGTAGATTTTCGTGTGTTCTTAAGTTCGCATCCCCTGACTCTATAGAAGGTTTTATGTTGTCTGGGTTACTGACCAAAGTAAGGTTGTCAGATTTTCCAAATGAACGCCCCTGGATGGTACCGTCCAAACCAGTATTTAAATCATGGTATTCTGTGGTAGAATCTTCTTCACGACGAACCGATGGCTTCGCATAATTACGTAGATACGGAGCAACTTTAAGCTGACCTCTGGGAAATATGTCTTCACCTCTAAAAAAGGCAAAACTCATTATGTCTACGAGATATTGTCGTAAAAGATTTCTATTACCATCTGTCCCCCTCTACTAACTACGTTGTAACCAAGCAAGAAGCCTTGTGGCCTAGATGCGTAATTTTACACTATGCCAAGTTTTGATCGCGTACTTTTTTTGTAATTAAGCCATACGCAAACACTGTACTTAAACAATAAGTGCCCACAAAGTTGTTTATTTTAATCCCATATTTCCACCTGGCGGCGCAAAGAACAATTAACGTTGTGGCTACACTGTCATCACAAAAGATTGAAATCAAATAAAGTGACCAATTTCATTTGCATGACAATTTACAAAAGATTTCAGCGACCGCTCGTGAATGGTTGCGCGAAGAGCCCAAAATCTTTCGAACACTGGGTGAACAGAATCAAGCTCAACTTGAAACAAAGACTTAAATATCCGCCGAATCATAAATCACGAGTTTTCATGGTCAATTTGAAATTAACCTTTACCTGTCTATTGTTATTAAAAATATTTATTATGTGGCTGTGTCTTACAAGGACTGGGAACTACCCAATTCACGAATTTGATTGGCTGAAATCAATATTGAAAGCGGTCTAGATTTTCCCATCTAGACCGGCATCTAGACAGGTCTAGAAAACAAAGGTACAAAGAATATAAAAAATTGGCATATAAGACACCATATAATAAACATCTTATTAACCGCGGTCGATGCGTACAGACCTCACTGCGTTCGGGCTGTACTGGCGACCTCGGTCAAGATTCTCCCTTACAGACCTCCCGCTCGGTTAATAAGAACTAAATTTTAGTATCTCGACTGCTTTGCTTGTTTGTATACTATTATTGGCACAATAGATGGGTAAATTAAAAAAAAATTATTCAAAACATAAATCAAACCTTTGAAGTGCCAGGAAGTCACGACAGGAACTAACCATAATATCCCTTTTATTGGCTTTAATCCCGGAATACTGAAGAAATTTCAAAACAAACAACACCCAAGTTTTGAGATTTATAATTTTCGAAGATACATTATCTGAGAGACTAGACCCTTGATCAATTTTGGGTTTTATAATTAGGATCCGAACTAATGAAAATATCTTTTTGAGCCCTTTTCTTGTAAAATAGTGACATTACAAAACAAATTCAACATAAAGGTGTCACGGAAATGTTTCTTTTCTCGGAAAAGAAATGAAAAACTCCTCTTTTGTAGCTGCATGCACAGCGGAGAAAGCGAGCGAGACGGATGCATGACCACTCGCTCGCGCGTGTCAGTCTGAGTCACGCCGCCCGTTCAAATGTTGCGCCTGTTCTTCAAACAACACTTATTTGTTCAACGTTTCAACAGGCCAACGTTCCACTAAGTGGCGTGGGGTTTTTTCCTTGACAATTTTTGACAGGTTAACAAGTTTTAGAGAATAAGTGCTCGGCAGTCAGCAGAATTTCTGCTCTCTTCGTGTTGTTTAATAATATGCATAATTTACAAGTCAGGAATCTCCAGGTAATATCCTTGGGACAAACTCCTTTTTCTCTTATCATAATTTATTGCTTAATCGCATTAAAACGTCTGCTTTTTTTTAAAGTTTCTACCTACGGTACAAGAATCTCTTTCCGATGCGTATTTAATTATCAACAACTTCATATTCCAATGTAAATACGGCTTTACTGCACAACGAATAAATAAAGGAATAGTTAACTACATTTAATCATGGAATCCTTCCTTGTGCAGTGGACTCTTGGCAACTCGCACTCTCAATAGACGATACGTAATGAATTTGATAAAAAAAAAAACAAAAACAAAAACAAAAACAAAAAAAAACCACACACACACTTTTGATCAGTTTTACACCGATCATGCTGCGAGAACCCTGTCTTTACCTCTAATTTGGTACACGGCGAAATCAGTTCTCTCCCTCTTTGGGTAACTCGATCCTTCGATGGTCCTATTCGACGGTTCCAGTTGCCATGACTCAACCGCACTAAATCATTTCTTAATTTATTATTATTTTTTTTTTGTTTTTTTGTTCCCTTTTATTCGATTCCCCGGGTTCGTTTTAGCCGGATCGGTCCGGTTCGGGGCCATAAAACCCCTCATAAGCTGAACATTCCTTCACAGTTACTGTTCCTCTCTCAGTTGTAACATCCGTAATTATCATGCTGTTGGCTAAAAATTCAAATCGCGAGTATCGCGGTATCACCGGGGTGTTTTTCATTTCCGTGGGGGCTGCCGGGGGTGGAACTTCGTGTCGTGATGAAGACGGGGGGCTGGAGGATACCGTGGGGATTTCGGCGGTGCTCGGTTTGGATTGAATCTCTCTCTCGATCACCGAAGCTTTTTCAGGCAATGGAGTTTCGAGTTTGTCTGTCTTTAAGCTGCTGCTGCAACCAGCGTTACAAGGACTGGTCTCTAATTCACACACATCGGAGGTGGGCGGTGCAGCTTCTTTCAAGTTGGCTTTTTCGATGTTTGAATCAGACTCAGCAATTTTGTTTTCACTCTCCTTGTCAGGTGATCTCTCTTCGGATTCTGTAATTTCAACCTTGACAGTTTTTTCATCTACTTCGGTTACAACGAGAGGGACTGTGGTTTCAACCTCAAGAGACGGAACAGCTTCGCCGCTACCTTCGTCAACCTTTGGTAAGTTTCGTTTTCTCCGACGCCGTCGTCGCTTCGCGGGCGGTGGATCAACTTCGCGAGAACATTCATCAATTTCGCTGTCACTTTCGTGATCGTTGACGCTGGTGACCTGTTGAACAACCGCAGAGGAAGTGTCTGGCTTTTCCGGCTGGAAAATTCAAGAAAAAAACTTCAGTTTTGAACACTAGCTCACGTATAAAAATAGAAAGCATTGAAAAATTTCATCAAGAATATAAAAAAATTCAGAAATTAACAGCCCTTGACCTGCTAGCAAAATTACTCGAAAAATCTGATACTGAATGTTACCGCAAAGAAAATTGACAACACCGCCTATTTAAGCGAAATAAAATGCAATAGAAAATTGTTTGACAACCACTTCTAAATTTGAATTTAAAAAAATAATAATAAGGCCATTAGCTCACTTTTGGATCGATCTGTGACACATTTGTCGAGCTCTTTCGATAGTTTTGAATATCCAAAATGTTTTATCAAATACATTGTTTTGAGATTCATGGTATGGACGAATGGTTAGATTCGTAAGTTGCAAAAACATAGACAGCATTTAACGTCAAAAGAAACAAAATGAAACCACAAAGAGCAATGTTCAGTTCATTTTCAAACTATCAAAGCTTTACAGATCGAAAGATGAGGATTTCAGTGGTCATATTTTTTTTTTAAACAAACTCATCTTTTTATCACTGTAAGAGGTATTTCAACAGAAAAGAGAAACTATCAGAATTCAAATATGGTTTTCCTAAGGTTGTCTATTTCAAAACAATCCCTTATTACAATATTATAGGAAATAAAAAATTCGCCTTAGAGATACTCGACAGAGCAAAAAGAGGAACAACGGTTTCGATACTTACGTTTTCCTCGGTAACAAGCATTTTCTTTTTCTTGCCTTTAAACTTTCCCTTTCTAATAAGGCCAGAAAAAAATTAAAATGTATGAAATAAAAGCGACCCTCAAGAGTATGACTCAATGTTAAAAATGAAATCTACACCGGAGTTAATTTCAGTTTTACTTTGATACAAATGATATCAAACATTGCTTTCGTTCGCACTAAAACAAACCAATCCAAAGTTTCCTGCGATTCTTTGAAGCCACCAGAATAAAAATTTCAAGTGAGAAAGAATTTCGTTTGCTCAGGGTCGCAGAAACATTTGGGTTTACTCTAAAATTGTAAATTGCACACGGGAATGCTTCGAAGCGAACAAGAATTATGCGAGTCTGAACGTGTAAAAATATTTTTTAACAGTCTTTCGATACAGTACCTCGCTGTTAGCCGTTGTCGAAAAGCCCTCAGTAATCGTGGATCCAACACATTCTCCTCTGGTTCCCAAGTGTTGTACCTAATTGGATTTCAAAGGCAAAACCATCAACAGCTTTACTAACACGAAGGAATATTAAGCTGCAAATTTATGCACGTGAGCGACACGATGCTTACTTTTGTGAATATCCTTTCCATTTGATAAAGTACTCTACTTTCCCCTGCAAATCAAAGATTTGTTAATAGCAGGATTTAACCAATATCTCTACAACAATGCAAAGAATATTGTCTCTTCGAAATACCTCTCGAACTCTTCGCTTCAGGATCGTTTCGGCCGCGTATATACCGTTGTTTTTGCCAGGCCGATTCATGTCGCATTATCCGCTGAGAAGTGGTGTTTGTGTTTGGAATCATGAAACTTTCCTCCGCATCCCATAATACTCCACAGGAGTACTGACGTCACTATTCAGCAGACAAGCTCTTGTTACGATTTCACAATCTGTCTCATTTACTATTTTGCTTTAAGAGTTATTTTCGCGGCCCTTTAAGCATTGTATGTTTTTTTTTTTTAATGGCACCATTAAAATACTTGCTTAATGCAATCTTTGAGTGCCATTTTTGCGGCAGGCGATCAGTGGATCTACTTTAATAACATAATAAAGAAAATCATAATTCTTTGATTCGTCCGCAACGCTTACACCATTTGAAAGAAAATGGCTTTAGGCTAAATTAATATTTAATAGGAAGCGAGTTATAATAGTAAAAAATACCAATTTTAATGCGTATATTAACCTACCATTTTCAAAATAATTTTTCCTCTCTTGGGAAATATATTTAGATCGATGTTTTCTTAGTAAGATACGAGTCAAGCAAATTCGCAGTTTGTGATCATCAAAACTGATCGAAAAAGTGTGGAAGGCAAAAAATAAGACAATTAATCGGTAAATCAAGGGAACGGGAAATAAATCGTGGTAGAATCTGAATACTCACGAGCAGGAGAAAATAAGGATATCATTATTTTCTCTTGTCATGTTGCATTCAAAGTTTCCACGTCCTACCTTTGAGAAAAGTGTTTTTAAAACTCGTTTCTTTTTAAAAATTTCAAGGGTTACAACCCATATCGGCAAAATAGTCGCGAAATTTACAAGGCAGAAGAACTGATCTAAGTGGCAACAATTTATTAAAATTTTTGAAATTTTCTGTTCTAATATTACACCACAACAAAAAAGTTTAATTTTTTTTTTTATTTATTAACTGGCTAATATCTGTGCAGTGAAGGAGAAAATTCATTATGGTTGAAGCGATACTACAGAGAGGATAACAAATGAATAGAATATTTGTATTGTATTGTATTATTTGTATTTATAGATTTGTACATTGTAGAGGCGAGAGAACAATAGGACACGTAGTCCCCTACTAGGTTCTCCCACCTAAACCAACCCCAACCCATCCATCCCACCCCAGGGGAGGACATCCATCACACAGTAATCTCGTACATGGGAAATTAACTTCTCCTATATCCTACCCCAAACCCTGCAGGAGACGCGACCTCCATTTATTCGACCAGTTATCCGAGAAGACTAGAATATCTAACCATTTCTTGATGTTATAGAAAGGTAGTAAATTCTTCGGTATTACTTTAAGACCTTGAGTGTTGGCCCGGCCGGGGTTCCAACCCTCGACCTCCCGCACATCAGTCCAGCGCACTATCCATTGAATAAGAAAGATGGTAAGTATAACAAGGATTCATCAGCGTTTAAACAAAGGAAACAGCCCCAAGAGTTTGTAATTTAGTATTGTACTTGTTATTTTTGCACAGCCTCAACATCATCCCTTCCCCCCC